TCAAAGACTTATTTCCAGTGTGGTGCTTCTGGTGGTGATTGGGTAGATGGTACTGTACATGTACTGTACATAGGGGACAATCCCCACCCCTTTCCGAAGAGTGTACTGTGTATAGTACTTGATCCATATTGTACACAGGCCCAACATCTTATTGTAAACGTCTCTTCTGTTTAAAACTTGTATTTCAGTCCTCCAGCTGAAACACAAGAAGAACAGCAGATGGAAGTGAACTTGTGACCATGATCTGAAAGGATATTTATTGTAGGTTCAGCGCACTCACAGTGGCTACCACCAGTTTTAAAAGCTGACTGAGCAAAGCTGCTCTTGAATAGTTGAGAGTTTGAGAGTATGAGTTTGAGTCTTGTGGGATGGGTTGTTAACATTAGCAATTGGTGAATCATTAACTATAGTGTGCATAAAAGCCATATCTTTTGTGAGGCCCAAGTTAAGTACTATACTGTAATCAAATTTGTTTTATTACAAATTTTTCTATCATACCCTATTTTTTCAAGAAAATTAATTTCTGTGTCTATCAATCATTATCAGCATAACAAACTGATTATTATTATTATTCTGCACCTTAATCATACATGCAGTAGGCAGTCATTCATCGCACCATTACTGTATGATTAAATAGATTATTATTTAAAAAAACCCAAGGGCAGAAATTTTGCAATAAAGTAAGTGAAAATAGTCTATGGTACTGTAACATCATTGTTAAGTGTATTGTTAACAATCTGTCTGTGTTGATTTTTAATTCACTATATAATTGCTTATTTACTGATGGTACAGTAGCATTCAAATAAAAATTATTATAAAACCTTTACCTCTTCAATTAACACTATGCAAAATTAACTATTTTTTTTCTATATTTCCAACTAGAGAAGTAAAATGGCATTATATCAATAAGTAGGCTATATTTCTCTAGGTTTTATTTGCACATAAGGAAATGAAAATGTTAATGAATAATTCAATTTTACCATGGATACTATAGCTCCATGATGTCAACAAAGAAAGAAAATTGTACAATACTAAAATGGCAGGTGCTATATCCTGATATGTGAAGAAAGAGCAAGAAAGAGGCTGTTGTTAGACATAAATACAGTTATATTATTAGTTAATGAACTGTGTATCAAACGTCTAGTAACACGCTGCTTTACAAGTATTAATTGATATCCAATCGCGAGTGTCTGGTAGTGCTTAATCAAGCAATGCTAAAACTATTGTTTGTATAAAAATTATTGTGGTTTGGTATTATACTTTACGATAGTTCTACATTATGTCCCACACTCCAATATCATGTGATACTCGGTGTCTAAATTCCATAAATTATTGTTGGTTTTAATATGGTAAAAGATATCTTTTTCATGAGTCATTAACAACTTCTAAAGCAAATTATTATTTAAACTACAGTATTATTGGATAGCTACAGTATATGGGACTGGAACTGTTCCTATCATTTTTATCATCTTACATTAGTGTTTTAAAAATTAGGATAAACATTTTTAAATATGTCACTAATTTATATGCTCTCTAGTTGATGTATTACTTCAAAAATGAGCAAGTTAGTTAAAGATTATTAATATTAAATAATCTGTTTTTATAATTTTTTTAAACATTTTTCAGGGGACCCAGATTATTAGCCTACTGTATGTTCATTCATTCCTGTTCTCCTTTTTTTTATACAGTTGGTGTGAAGTGAGGTCTTGTATTATATATATTTTTTTTTTTTGTGAGTTAAAGTACTCCCAGAACAAAACTGTATGGTACTGTGTTGTTTATGGTGTACAGTAGTTGTGATAGCAGTGAATCTACCGTATTATTATTATTGTTTCTGTTGCTGGAAGTGTGTCACTAATTGGGACTAAATATTTAATGTAGACGCTCTCATCAGTTTGTTGTCACTCCCTTAATACTTATTGTATCCTAACAATGAACAATTTTTGTATTTGCTGTATCAGTTAAATTCTGTAGAACTACTATGTACATATATTTTATTGCATTGCCCTAGAGTTGTACTGTACAACATGTCTGACATTCCAAGTAACAAAAACACATATTTGTTTGCTGTTGAATAGATCAATTATTACAATGATGTGTGAGTGTGCCGTTAGGCTTGTTTGATTTGTCTTCAAAAGTTCAATGGTATTTGCCAAAGTTTTTCTTGTGGAGTTACCCTTGATCCGGCAAAGTGCTCATTTTGTATGGCAACAGGTAATTTTGGTTTGTTCTCCCCTTGGTTGTCAAGCTAGTCACATACCAGTACATGCTATAAATTGATTTACTTATTTAATCCAGTCAATCATTCAATCAGAATTTATTGTCATCATTCATGAAGATTGGTTCACAGTGGAATAAAATTCTTGTGGTTTATAGTTCGGCATAAACAGGAAAATGCAGTAACTGGCACTAGACTGTGATGTTGCATTATGTGTTGGTTATTGCACAAGGTTGAAAGTAGCATACTCATTGGGAAAACACTGGCAATTTACTCATTTTAATCTTAAGAATTATTTTAGATAAAATCAGCAAATTACCACTGGCAGTAATTTGCTGATTTAGATCCAACAAGTGTTACAGTAGGTGGAAATTAGTAAGTCCCAGGAAATTTGCTGGTTTGGATTAATTTTTTTAATAACAGCTATATTTTAAAAGGGAAAACAACTTGTAGTACCATAATGGTGTTTTCACAAGGTCGGTTTTGCAAAAAGATACAAAGAAAATGAAGAAAATATTATATCAAAATCAAAGAAAAGTAAATTCAAAATTATAAAGACTAAAAAGTGATGTCATGACAATGACTATACTATAGAAAAGTTTAAAATGATTTGTTCATTATTTGAAATATTTAATCCTGTTAGTTATATATAAATCTTTTAAAGGTATTAGGAGCAGTTGTTGCAAAATTATTTATATTGTTTAGGTTACTCCAGATTTCAGCCCCATGGTATGAAAAACTTCTTTTTTTATATTCAGTCTTTGGTTTATGTAAATGTACGATGTCATTTGACCTGGTTCATTACAGCCGTTTTTTATAATTAATATTTATAAGATTTTCAAACGTAATCAAGTTGATCAGAATGAACAGTTAAAGATATCTTCCCGAACCCCATCCCCCAGTATAGTTCATCACTCAAACTACTACAGGAAAAATATTTTGTGTAATAAAGGTTGCCAGACCATAAAAATAACATATCAAAATTATTACTGTGATGCATAAAATGATTTGTTGGTAAATTGTAATGAATGTCATAGCCTTCCCTTACTGTATCTTATGTGTAACTACATCAGATTGTAAACAGTAGGAAGCTGGGTGCCTAAATTGTAACTGAAGCATGTGTATTATTGTGGTTACACACAGGATATTTGTAATTGTTTAAATAACTGTCTGATAATAATAATAATGGATACGATTAATTTTGTAGTCGCGTTTAAACTATTACTGTATATGGTTTGGATATATTTTAACATTCTAAATAAAATTGAAAATGTTCAGGCTGAATAAATTGTATGTATGTTAATTAGTAATTTTCAACCAACACTTACCTTGAAATAATTAAAGTAATACATAAAAGGCCTTTTTATTATTTTGCTCCACTTGCGCAGTTTTTGAATACTTAGCACTTGGGACAATTTTACATGGCTGAGACTCATTAAACTGTCATTATCACTACCATTTTGATATGTAGTGATGAGATGGTGACTGCCACACCTTATATGTACCATTCTCACATCAATATTGCCCAATTTCTCATGTACAATAACCTTCAATAGTGTATCTTTTTTATGGTTCATCGTTGTTTTCCATCACAAGGCAACAGGAAGAATATCTTTCAGAAACCTCATTGTAATCAATGAATCTCTTTTTCCTTGCGGGGTTATTATTATTATTATTATTATTGTTATTATTGTAGTAGTAATAGAAATTATTTTTTAAGGAGAAAAATTAGCCATCATTCTCATCCAAGTTTAGAATGAGAAATATTTTTAATTATTACATTATGTGGCCTTATTTTTGTTGACTGTGTATCAATACACCTTTGTGTTCAGTCAACTTGAACAGCTGGTATGTAGAATTGACCTCACTGTGCCACTGAATATTCATAAGATGAGTCATCATGGACTGCAGGCCCATGAGGATGAGTATATTCTAATTACAGTTATGATGAATAATAGTGACACAGTATATCAGAGCATTAGTTATTATTTTTGCTAACTGTTTACCGTTAGTTCTCTGTTTGCAGCTGGTGCTTGCAATCTGCATGCTATAAAAGCTTTATATGTTATAAGATACCAATATATCAAGTTGTCTGAAATCATCTACCAAAACAGATAAGGTTTCATAGAGATCTATTATCATCTTATACATTATTATTATCATTAAAATTTGAGGACAGATTATGTTTCATAGTGATGTGATTTTAAGAATTTTTTTCTTCTTGTTTTTGTTTGCATTATTGAGTTTGTATGCATCTAGTACAAAAGGCACTCTGTCCACTGTAAGTCCAATAATTTGAAATTGTCAAAGGTTCTTTTATCACCAAGATAGATTATAAGAATACAGTATGTTGGTTTTTTTTTTTTATTGATTGATTAATATTCATTTTCAAATCATAAATGTATCCTTCAGGATGTACAGTAGGCCAACTACTGTACATGGAGGTGTTTGTTTTTGTTTATTATTGATAATATTTTTTCTCTGTTGTATTTCTCTGTTCATGTACTTTACATGTATGTATCCTGTTCATCCTCTCTTGCCTTCTCTTTTCCTCTTCTGAATAATTACCACAAAATCACTGTAAACATTTGCCTTGCTATAAATCACAGCTCAACAGTGTGTGTGAAGGGGATGGTTGGCTATTCAGCAGTTTTAAACAATGTTTTCCCATGGTTCCCTTCATGGTTTTCTATTGCATTGCACCCTCAATGTAGCCTACAGTAATTGCATTCATTCCATTTTTGTTTCTATTTCATTCATTGCTTTCTTTGTGCCACTGTAGATCTCCTGTCATCATGCGGATCATATTCATCAACTATCAGCATGGTGATCACATTGTAAGAGTGATCTGATTTCTCCCATAGGAGTAATCAGAAAGATATGAAGAAGAACCTAATAAGTTTTGCAAAACAAATGATGTCTACTACTTCACAAAGCCATCTACAGAGGCCAGGCAGCACAGCCTCTCTTTCCTTCCCAAAGGGATTGTTGAATGCACCGGGGGAAAATAACTGTTTCCTAAACAGTGCTGTGCAGGTAAGTGGCCCCTTTAATTTGGACTTACAGGTAATTGTTGTGTATCATATCATAGTTAATTCGGTTTATTTAGTATTAAAAAAGTTGCATGTACTGTCATCTTGTTTGTCGTTAAGGTTGAGGCTCATCTTTCTCCTTTCCTAAAATGAACAGAATACACAAACAGTTGCATCTGGCCTGCTGTGTAACTAATTGATGTTTATTGCTCATGTATGATGGCGATTAAATTTCATTAGAGTTTCTCGTATTTTGGCTTGTGATTGATATATTTACAGAGTATATCAGGGGTCCCAAGTCTTCTGGAGCTCTCGAGTGTCTCCCGGAAATCGGGATGGCCTCCCACACTCCCGCAAACAAGCAAGAATCATCCGGAAATAACCCATCTCCCGCAAATTCATAATATTTGCATGTTTTATAAATATTTTATTTATTATCAATCAGTGTTAATGTGTGCAGTATTACATAAAATTAAATTTGTCAATAAAGTCATAACCACTGCAGATCAGTGAAGAATTCAAAGGGAACTCCTAATTTTTCCCAAATTATACAAAAATGGGGGAAAAGGAAAATTATATTCTAAAATTTATGTCTGAAAGAGCAGTTTAGCTTAGTCGGCTATCTGGTGGTAGCCACTGTGTGTGCAATGAACCGTGGAGATCTCTAGGTCCCCCGTGTTTCAGCTAGAGGGCTGAAATACAAGTTACAATAGTGCACCGTCTTTCGGATGAGATGAAGCTGTTGGTCCCGTGTGCATTATGTGCATGTTAAAAAAACGCAGTAAACTCTTCAAAAAGAGTAGGGGATTGTCTCCCGGTGTACTGCCCAATCACCACCAGAAGGACCCCACTGGAAATAAGTCTTCTTCTAGACTTTCCTGGGCTATCCTTGGTGTCTACACCGAATAAATCCAATCCAATCCAAAGAGTGTCATTTCCGGCAATCTAGAGGTACCACAATCATAAATTTTCCTACCTCAGTGGTATAGTAGGCTTACAGGCCTACCCTATGTCCCTCTCTGCCCCTCCCCCTATTTCAAATTCCAGGATCAGCCACTGGAGATCTTCCGGTAATGAATTCTAATATATAGGGCATCACTAAAAGAATTACTATATGAAGAGTAGTGGATGAGAAACAAGTTGCAAACAAGATAAAATTCTTTTATTACATTATATTATAATTATCATTTGGCCTATTAAGTGTGATTAAATGTTAGTTGTATACTGGTAGACTACAGTTCAAGTCCAACCAAAAGGCTGTTTTGATGCTCGGTTCCCAATTTCAGGATTAATGCTTTGATCCTTGCAAATTTAATAAATGAGATGTTGTGCATTTACCAAGCTACTGTAGGCCAACTAATGGATGATTCAAGATGGTATGCAGAAAAATGCTCATGTAAAAAATGAACACAGTAGAAAAAGGCCTCAATTGACAAATACTGGTTGGATGGAGTGGTTCCCATTGCTGTAAAAATGCTAATGGGCCCAATTTTACCTGTCTTGTCAATTGGAGAAATTGTCATTTTGACAATTTGCATCTTCAGTCATTATGCAAAGTTTTACCTTCTGTATGTCAACTGTGGCCGTTTTTACCATGTTGGAAGAAGTAATTTCTGGGAGATCTGTTTCTGTCCAGATTTCGAGGAGACTTCCTCGACTTGAGGGGAGCCATTTCTGCCTTCATTCCTTTATGATATTATTAATATTATTATACAAACACTTAAATCATTGTAACCAATAATAATAATACTCAATAAAGTCTTATTCAGTGACAGAAACAATAGAATTACTATATATACAGAATTGTTAAATAATTTGTTTCTAATTGGTAAACCAACACACAGTCTGAATAAATTACATGGATTACAAGCTTGTTGGTAATTTGATGGCATTGACCTGTCAAGGATTGTGTGCTAGAATTATAAATGATATCATTAGCTACATAATAAAAAGAAAAAAATATTAGAATTATTTAATTTAACAAGTACAAGTTATAATCAGTGGCATAGAGCTCAGTTCTTCAGAGAGTGCAGAACCAAAAAAAAAAATAAAACATAAAAAAAAAATTAGTACTTTTTTTGTTTTTTAGCATTAACATGTAGTGTCTATAAGCCCTAACTGTAAACTGTCAGTAGCCACTATATGTGATCGAGTATTACAGTTACCAAGACCAATACCAGTATCTATGAGTTTTGAAATGGGGGGTGGGAGGGAGCATGAAGGTGAAGTTGGGGAGAGGGCTTTAGCTCGCAAAATAAGGTGACATGATATTTTTGGGGGAGCCTGTGGAAGCGCAAGTATTTTTGAAGGGTGTGTCCCCGCAAATCACCCTAGATACACCACTGACTATACTGTAATGTATGTACTGTAGAATAATAATGTACATTACATTTTATTTTTTATTATTCATTAATTATAACCAAAGTTAAATATCCTCAAAATGAAATGGTAATTTTACTTTATCTGATTTGTGTGTTACATTACCTGGTACCTGTCACTCTATGGAAATCTTAAAATCTCAATTTGGTAATTATTAAGTGCAAAGTACTGGTATCCAAATGTAGTGCTCAAAAATTTAGTAATGATACTAAAAAATACATTTTTTATATATCGCATAATGCCAGAGCTTCGACTGTATGCACTTAACATAAACAGAAAAGAGAGAAAAAACAAAAAAGAACTAAAACACGAAAAAACCTAAAATTAATGTGTTAATAGAAATTAGTTTCTATGTTCCTAAATGAAAACTATAAACTATACACCTTCAGTGCACATTATATATTACAGTATTACAGTAATACTGCTACCACTTTGTTTGCCATATTTACACATCTTATGCTTTGTTTATATTAACTGCTATGTATCAATATTTCATAAAACTTTATGACTAACATTCTTTCGCTGTAAAGTTTAAGTATGGTACTTCTGTTACTTTTTATTAAACTATTAATATTTGTACAGGTTGTTTTTTTTAGGTAAAATACAAAAATTCTTAATTCAGTTTGAAAAATGGAAACTCAAAATTTAAATCAAAGAATATCCAAAAAACAATTAACTTTTTAAACATTTTCCAAAAATTTAATGTTACAAAAAATGTTGCATTCTGCAAATTTTTTTCGGTTTATTGCTGTAGGTGTTATGGCATCTGGATATTTTCCGTCGGAGCTTTCGTAACTATGTTGGTCACGCCTGTATGGGAAACTCGTGCATATTCTGTGCTCTTAAGGTTATCTTCACCCAGTTCCAGTATGGTGAGGAGCAAGCATTACCCCCTGATGCTTTGCGTCATGCTCTTGCTGAAAACTTCAAAAACCAGCAGCGGTTTCAACTTGGCTGTATGGATGACGCAGCTGAATGCTTTGTACGTTATCAATCTAATATTTTATTTTGAGACTAATAAAAAATTTATGGTTTTTTTTATGATGTAAGTATAAAGATAAGGAAGTTTGTATTAATAACTAAACTATTGTGGTTTCAGTAATAAAATTAATTGACTTCAGTCCTGTTGAACCAAAGATTCAAATAATTTTATTGTCCATTGGAAATAACTAAAATTCATTTGAAAAGCAGACAAAAAAAAAGTGGAAGTCAACCGAAATTTAAAAATCGCTGCTATGGGTATAGTACATAAATATAAAAATATGGTATAAATACTATATTTATCATTTAAACATAGAAAAGATCATATTGCTCTTTAAGTTTTTGTTAACCTATATTTATATGAGCCAGAGGCCATTGTGTAAAAAGAAAAAATAAATGTCCTTAGTCCCTCTGCCAAGGAATGGAAAGATATAATTAAGACAAGTTTTAAACAAACCAATACATTTAAGAGAGTTGGCATTAAAAGTTAAGTGGGCAAGCAGATTAAAAAAAGGATAAATAAGATATAGTTTTAATTAAATTGAGTGATGGATAACTATTAAGTAGATAATAAATAATTCAAAAATAAAACAGATAAGTGAATGACATAAAAGGATTGATTTAACTTTGATTTTTATTAACAATTCTTTATTGTTTTTTCTTCAGGAAAACATTTTGTGTCGCATTCATTTCCATGTAGCTCATGATATTAGGGAAGATCTGTGCAATGTCAAACATTGTGTACCTCATAGGAAATTTGGAATGACCCTTCTTGAAATTGTGAGTGAAACCTTTGACTATTTACAATTGCATGATTAATGATTAATTGATATATCATTAATAATTAAAATGCCTTTCCTAAAAATAATGATTTTTTAGTTTGGTATCTTGTCTGCTTAATATTTTTTTATACTGTCCTATCTAAAAATTGCTGATTTTTTTTGTTTTTGTGTTGTTTCAGAGTAAATGCAGATGTGGTGCCACCTCTGAGCCATTTCCCTTCACTCAAATGGTTAGTTATGTATCCTGCAAAGCATTATGGTACGTTTAAATACAATAATTCAATGAATGTACCTATGCAAATGTGGTCAATAGTTTTTTTCCCCATGAATTTCCCTCATAATGTATCACAAAATCAATAATATCTGGTAAATTTCCTGGAAAAATCCCAATAAATTTTATCACTCACATTACTAAACTTGAAGTGTAAAATGCTGTGACTTTTTTTTTCCTTTTTTAAAATGAAGTTCTGAATTTCGGAAGAGTAAGATACAGCGAGTACCCCGAACATTGTCATTTGGAGAATTGTTACACCGTGCAAATGCAGTGGGAGATATACGAGCATGTCCTGTAAGTGCTTTGTTTTATTCAGGTATAGGCATTTATAATGCGCCTTATCCTTGAGGTTATAAAGCGCAGTTATTTGCCTGGTCATTGGGTCCACATGCTAAGTATTGCTGCTTGTAATCAACACAGGAGCAGGCAACCCCACCAGGTATCCTGGGTGTAGAGAAGCAATGCAGATAAAGTACCTTGCTCAAGGACACAAGCAAAATGCTCAACAAGGGATTAAAACACCGCCCTCAATGTTGGGAAACCAAACCATTCCTGCTGCGCCGAACAGCTTCCACAATTACGATACAGCACACCCTCTAATTCGAGTCCACTTTTTCCAAGTACCAACTAACAATTTTCAAACATTCAATGCAGAGCTAACTCTCTAAATTGAAGAACAAACCCCCTCGATCACTCCACATTTTTTAATTTTTGAATTGGAGGATGAACAGTATATATGCCTGTACATTGCTTGTGTTCAGTTGTGTGTATTTTCCTTTATATTTTGTTTATTGGCTTTTTATTTTCTTCTGCTGAATTGATTCTTCTGTTTATATAATTTAAAAGGTGAGAAATGAATGTAGGTATTGTTTTTTTATGTTAGGGAAAAACATGCTTGTGATCCTATTTAATTTCATTGAGTCATATGCAGACTATCACATTTTATTTGATAGAAAACTGTTGTATGCCCATATATAGCTGTGATATGCCTATATATGGTCATGATGTGATGTCAACATGACCATTTTAGGTATGTCGCATGTTTTTGTCAAGTGAAATTTGATAGTCTGGAGAGGGCTTCTAGATAGTAAAGTACTGTTCACCTTGTTTATTAATACTGTATACAGACTACATCACCTGCGAAAGTTCACTCTACAAAAGCTTGGAGTTCAATTAAAGTGTGTTAGTCTACCTACACTATTTGTTAGTTGAGGAAATGAGTATTGTCTTTGCATGTACAGTAATTCAAGACATTGTGTAAAAGTGAAGTACATGTAGCCAGAATCTATAAATTAATATACATTCAACACAACTTCAAGGATAACCAGTGGGGTCCTTCTGGTGGTGATTGGGCAGTACACCGGGAGACAATCCCCTACTCTTCTCCGAAGAGTGTACTTCGTTCTTTAATATGAACACGGGCCATACACAGGACCAACGGCTTAAACATCTCATCCGAAAGACGGTGCGCTATTGTAGCTTGTATTTCAGATGGGAGTTAACTATAGTTCTAGAGATCTCCAGGGTTCAGTGCAGACTCAACAGCTACCACCAGTTTAGCTGACTGAGCTAAGCTATTTGGTGTATAGGAAGTATTTTTTTCAGACAGTCTGTCAACAATCCTTCAGTGAACAGAAAATTTAAAAAAATTTCAATTCAATATACATTTATTCAATCAATGGATGAACATGACATGAATCATTAAATTTCAATAGTATAATTCCATTGATAAGGATAAAGTTGTAGAAGCAGTTTGGCTTGTCTCAATTGACCTTTACAAAAAAAGTACAAAATAAAATTTAAAAAAAG